AATTTTAAGTAATTCGTTTGTCCTGTTGCACATTAATACAAATATATATTTACTCTTGAATTACATAGAGTAGTAGTTTTATCCATACTAAAGCATTCTTGCATTATATAAAGAAAAAAATGAATTAAAAAAAATGTTACAGAAATATAACTGTGTCAATGTACAGCAGGACTTTTGAATCTTTTAGAATGGCTAGTTCACATTATCCTCATACGGATTCACCAGCACAAAGAAGAAGGATAAGTAGTTAGTCCCAAAAAACTCAACTGGAAGAAATTTACCAAATCTATTATTATATTTGAATATATATATATATTTTTTAAATCAGTTCTTGATATTTGGCCATCTCTTGTATCTATCGCTCAATGTTACAGATTCCAAAATCCAAAATGGCCGACAAACCATATTGCGTATAGATGTAGAACATGCAATTGACATTTGACCTTTTCGCTTCAGTGAAGTTACCTATGAAGTATTCACTTTTAACTCGTACTTGAACTGTCATGTCATAGTTAATTATCTAGGAAATATCAAATTTTGTCCAATTCACAATAGTGGGATTGAAAAATTATGTATTTTCTATTACTATCCTATTCAGGGTCTTTGCATACAAACGACTATTTGTAAAGAGCCTCATTCGAAGTTGCTTGAATATATTATATCACTTCCGGGTTCCGGGTTGATTGGGTCAATCAGTAAGATAGTTTTTTATTTGTATTTCTCGCATTCACGGACGATAATTATTTATAGATTAAGACACGTTTATACAGGTGTCGTATTCGCATTGTAAAGTTATTTAAATAATTTATTTCCCGCCTATTTGATCTGATTGTGACGTGTATTCGGTTTCGTCCGTTGATTATGGTGTAATAATGCACCTTTGGCGATGTGATTATAACGGACAATCCACGTTGTATTGTTAATTGTTTCCTAACAAAGAAAAAGTAATTATGTGTTGTGACGTAATAAATGATTAAAATGGGAGATATCAAGTTCCAGAATTAAAAAAACTTCCTTCTAATTTCATAAATTAAATTTTTTATTCGGAATTCTCGTCATGTAAGATCGCAGATAAAACGAGTATAATTTCGTCTTATTATCTACTTTTCATGTTAGGCCGGACTTCAGATATTTGGATCCATTTAATTTCTATTATGCAAAATACTCTTGGTAACGTTACACCGTTGATCGCAGATAAAAGTTTAATGTTTTATTTTTGTGTTTCGCATCTGCCTTCGTGGATAGCATCTGACCTATGTATATTCGACACTCATTCGTGTTATTTCCCCCGGCTAATCTTCTTTCATTCTATTTATCGTAATGCTAGGATAGTTATACTACCAAACCAAACTGAAAGTATTTATGATAGCATGTTTATGTGTATTTATTTTTTGTGAACTATAAGTAACTGTATGTATATTAATACACATCATTTGTATGTGCATGTGTTAAAATGTTCAATAATATATTAGAAATTAAAATCTTATAGACCATTTCTCGGCTGAGATTTCCTTTGTTTTCTCACAATATACAAAATCGTAATATCAATCATCACTGATGAACTTCATTGTTCTGTAATAATGGTTGTTATTTTTCAAATTATTTTCACGCGTTATGATTGGCTCGATCGATGTTAAATTGAATTATTGAGGTCACAAAGGGAGAATTATACGCCATATTGCCCCGAATCGATAAAACGATGAAAATTATTTGAATTCCACAAAATTCAAATTTCTTTAAGCTTAAAATTAGGGTTTGAACATAACCTTATAACATTATTTATTATCTAGCAACTAAAATGGACGCAATACCGATATATTGCGGCCTTAAGCAATAATTATATCATGTTTATTAGACATAACCTAATTAGACCCGACTATTATTAAAATTTGACCAATATTTAAAAAATACTAAAGAATTTAAGACGGAAATGTATATACATTTCCGGAAAAGGGTCCAATGATATTATTGCTTCCAAATTCCAAGGGTTCGAAGGTCATTTAATCACTGACCATTCGAGTTACAAATACTATATATCGATAATAAGGTAGAGAGGGTGAGAGGTCATCATAAACCCGGAAGTGATTTTATTAGTTAATTATAATATATTGAGCTGTAGATCGTTTCTCTTTGAATACAAACCCCAGAATAATAAACAGAATTGAAAAATAAATTATTCCCAAATCAATTTAATCCCACGCGGTTTTATTATCTTCAGATTTAGAATCGTTTTCTGGTCAATTTTGATTTATATTGATTAGACTTCGATTGGAGAATAATAATGTTGGCTAATTAGCTGGGTTTTATGAGTAATTAAAATATTTTGTCGAATGGGGTAGTATATACATAACTACTGCTTCTCTAGCTTTGCCTTTGTGTCAGTGGAACCGCATGCACTGCCTGAAAGGATACTGTAGTACGAATTAATGTGAATTAAAACGGCTATATAGATTGGTTCAAAAGTCTATTGCATCACACACAGTATTGTAAAACTGCTTGTCTGAGTAATGAATTTCGGCCAAATGAAAATTACAGAAATGTATTTGCAAAAATGAATCTTTTTAAATTTTTAGCATTTCGTCCGACCAAAGTCAGACTTCTTCGGACGATCATGATAAACTATTGAATCAACTATGAAAGTCCGACTTTCTTCGGATGGAACGTTGCAAAAATGTGTTTGTGTTAATGTAACAAAACTGAATCACAGAGAATAATTATTTTTATTTTTGACACAGTTTTCTTGTATTAAACACACATATGTTACAGAAATCATTTATGTTCATGTATCAAGACTGTTGAGCTACTCAACGAATACTTACTCAACGAATCCCCTATTTTAAACATGTATATACACATTTCAATAGTATCCTATATGTTGTTACAAGTTGTCAACTCGATCACAATGTATCGCGCTGTCTAGCACATCTCAAGCGTTAAAATTTGCGATATTGCGTGAGATAAAAATCCTTTGCTTTTGAAGATTTAGACATTTTGAAAGCAAAAATGTCAGAAAAATAGACAGGGAGGAAATTCATTAAAAGTTTTAGAAAGTTTCGCTTCGAATAAGACTCTGAACATTAAGCTATTATTACGTAATGAGCTACCGTGACTCATTGTTAGATCATAATCTTTCTATAATCTTTAATTATCTAACCAATTTAATATATCCAAGATGAAGTTGTGAAATAAAATATTACAGGACCCAGATTATGAAATGAAACATATGGATTTATTTGTCTGTTTTTAAATGCCTGAACAAGTCCCACTCCATCAAAGAATCGCCATTTTTATTTATATTTCATTTTTTTGATGTGCTAAAATTTGTATTTCGAATTTCTAAATTTTTACCAAATTTTATGCAAGATAAGTTAACTGTAATTTTTAACCACAGTTTTTACATTTTTACATATCATATATTTTACTCAATGGCAAATCCCCAACAACATTGTTTAGATTTTGCCATAAAAGTTTAGTTTATTTATCTTAGTCAAATATGATGCTTAATCTACCGAAGAAGAATTCCGCCATTAAGGCGCCGAAACGGTTGATATTGTGTGTTTAGTGCATTTCGCTTAATTGACAGCGATAGAAGTGGTTTATAGGGATAATTCCCGCCAGATTATTTGCCGCTTTATTGCAAAACAAACGTTTTATGGATAGCCATTGTTACGTCATACACTGAATTTAACAAAATTTAACAGCTTATCGTCATCAACACTACTTACCAATGTTTTTTTACGGCACGTACGAAATAAATTAACAACCCTATTGGGGCGTGACAAGTGTATACTAGCAACCTATTTATTTAACTATGATGTAATAATTAAATTAGTAACGTAATAATGTATTTTTACTTTGTGATTGAAAATTCATTACGAGACCTATTCACTCAGCAAACCTCTTACCACCAACCTAGCCAACTTATATCCGACATTAATTACCATATTTCTACCGCATCTGAGCGTGCAAATCTGACATGGTTTTTAAAATTGAGATTTAAGTAAATATGAACCCTTCCAAGATTAGAAATTGGGAATTTTTAGGTCCCGACTTGAACACCAATGTCAGTTGAAAACTTCAAATACTTTAATACCAACGGTTAATATTGTATGTTTAGTGCAATTCGCTTAATTGACATCGATAGAAGTTGTTTATAAAAATAATTGCTGCCAGATTATTTGCCTCTTTATTGCAAAACAAACGTTTTATGAATACCCATTATTACGCCATATCCTAATTTTCTTTCTTTATGTTCATTGAGGTCAGGATGAGTTAGTTTATTGTCCAGCTTCTAACTTATCCTAACCTAGCATAAGATAAACAAAAGAAAAAAGAAAACAGTTCAGAGGATTAAATGGTATCACTAGCAATGTACTACTAGGCAAACCTTTTGAGACGCTGTGGCATGCAAATAAAACTTCGTTTACCTATTTTGCTACCAATTTGTTAACTTTCGTAAACGCATATCGAAATTCCATCAGAAATGAGTTTATAAAACCAAATTCTTTATAGATATGGACTCAGATTAACTGGCTCGCTTCGCCCCGTCAAATTGTGAAATCAGGTGTAAAAATTTGATGTTTTCAACAAAAATATTTTGCCAAAATTAACTGGATGCGCTCTATATATCTTGTAGTGTCCGTTGATAGCATCAAGATATCAATTTTTTTTAAATTTAACGCGTCACCGATTTTGGAATTTTTGTTACTTTATAGTTAGCTAAATGAGTATGTATGGCCGTACATGACCCAATGATGTTATAACTCACCAGAGGTAGATTAACTAAAATTGTACAACATAATTAGTACTACAAATTGCTTATAGTTTTCATCTAATATGTAAGAATTTCTGGTTTTATTAAGACGCCGAACAGTATTAATATATTGAATTTTAACTAAACAACTTACTCAAAACCACTCGCAAAGTAAAAATCTAGATAATCAAGTAAATCTTCATTACCCCACCACCCACACGGAAAAAATAAAGAATCGAAAAATTACTTGTTTGAATTGTTCTTCAAATGTCCATTCCTGTTGACTTCCTCTTCTGTCGCCATGTTGCTGTGTGTTTGTTGGTGATGACGTAGTCGATGACGCTGATGACGTATGTCCTGGGCCATTGCTTCCAATCAGAGGCATACTGAGAGAGTTCTGCGATAGGTGGAGGTTTTATATTAGAGTAACTTAAACAAGTGTCAAAGCGAGGTTGTGAATCTTGAGAAAAAAGTGGAAATTTATCATGTGTCATTGTATATTGCCACGAGACTTGAACCAATGCATGTTGTTACTGTCAGGAAGGAAGCAGAACGGATACTGATTCCACGTTATTGGCAAATCAAAAAAGTAACTGTCATTGTTCCAATTTGGGGTACTAGGTTATTATTAAACTCATCCGACACCTTAGGATGTGATGAATTGAGTAATTAATGTCGGGCCGAATGATTTCTGTTCTTTCCCAAGTAAGCTTCTTACAGTAACTGCTTGAACCGAGCCATTTTAGTAAAGTAAAGAGCTGTTGAAAATTACTGTATTGTGTATGATATACTTACATGGTGTTGCACGGACATGGCGTGTTGTTCTTGAATTCTTTTGTGAGCCTCTGCCATTTGTTGAGCTGCCATTTGCTGTTGTTGAAGAATTGCAAACTCTCTGACACCCTGAGAAATGTAAAAGATCATTATTAGAAACGAGGTGAACGTATGGGTCGTTTGCTATATTGTTGTTGTTTTTTTACGTTTCTTAGAGTTGTTCTTATGGAAATCTCTTTCATCAATAAATAATCGTTTTATTAAATTGTCGTTATATTTGTATTTGCAGTATTTGAAGAATGAGGTGATCGCCAGAAGGTCATTACTTTCATTTTTTTGGTTGTTATTATGAATTCCAAATTTGGAGATTTGAATGTGTAACAGTTTGTTGAACTGGCTAAGTTTATTACTCTTTTATGCTTTTATGCCGGTGGATCCATATGCATGTCATAAGAGGGATGCTGTAGCATGGATAAAGTTGACTATTCTAAGTGATTAAAGAGCCTTGTTGCACATTAACACATAAGTATTTCTGTAACATTTCACTTGTCAAAATTTTACTGGCCCAATTTAAAAGTTGAAACTCCGAAAGTCGATTTTGCAAGTTTTTAAGTACAATGTATGGTATGTGTATAAAGTAGTCGTATTTACTTGGGGTAGCTGAGCTAGTTGTGCGGGGTCGAACCCCATTCCGGGTGGGAATTGTCCAAACTGTTGTGCAAGTGTATTTGCCACAGCTGCAGATTGCATGTTTGCAAGAGACGAATGTCCAGCAGCGGCTGCCATAGCTCCAGGAAAGAATTGTGCCATGCTGACTCCCGCACTGGAGGTTGGGGATCCATCTCTACTGTTTGCGCTTGCTGCAAAGGCCGCTGCTAGAGCTGCCTGTTGAGCAACGGCCACGGCCGCTGCGTTCCTGTAATACACAAAAAATATTAAAATGGCGTCGCTCGCTTATTGAATTTGCTAATTTGTCTCCGGTTATGTTACGGGTGTCGAGAACGAATATAAATTGTCGAATTGGGTAGTAATATCGCACAAAAACTTAATCTGAAACAATGTAGTACTATATATATTATCAAAACTCGTCCATGAGTTTGCTCTGAGATGAACTCTCTTTACCTTTGAGTGACTGTACGCGTAAAGTACCGCAATAATACTATTATAATTTTAGTAGCTCTTGGCAAAGTTATCGGAGACCACGGAAATGCAAAGATCTACCGTAATCATATAAAATCGCAGTGCAATATGCCACTAACTCAGAAGTAAATGAGACAAATCTCCTAGTAATGTTAAGGGAAGCAATTAAAATAACAAAATCCTTTATGAATCCTTCATTAATTTTTTATGAACCTACCCTGGTCCTTTCATGCCAAGTGATTTATCCGATCTTGGTGAATTAGATTCACTTCTTCTTCGTGAGAAGGAGTCAATTTCACGATTCTCACGAGGTGAATTCATCACATAATTTATTTCACTGTCATCGTCATCATCATGTCTCTGAATTACGAAATTTTAAATGATTTCATGTACTCTTTGAATATCATTTGTAAACGTTGAAAAGTGGACATTTTTATTCTTGATATAGTATCAGTGCCATATGAATTCACTAACACATAACATTAGACAGATGTTGTTAGTTACAATTCACAACGACCACCAATGTAGCTCAACGATGCAGAATTACAATTGTCAAAGTGTAATGCATGAATCTCGACCTCCAGTATAGCCATTCTCAATTTTTGCACCCTCAAGTAAATATGCGGGGAGTTGAAGTAGTTGAGACATGCCAATCTAATCAACCACGCGTCACCAATTAGGATTTACAAATTTAAAGTCTTTATATTTTGCAATTTTATTGTTTGATAGATAAACCATCAATTTTTTTTTCGAATTTGAAACATTCAATCGGGAAAAAATTTATTGTACTTTGTTTGTCATTTTCTGTTATTAATGTACTGTACATAGTGGGTGTGCGTGGGCCGAATTTTTTTCTAATTTTTATTTTCAATCTCAAAGATTCACGAATTATAAATTTTTTTAGTCTTTATGGTACATTTGCGATTAATTAAATATAAATTACTATTAATAAATGATCCAAATATTTGAAATTTTAAAATAATCCTTACGTGGTCGTGGTGGTGTCTATCTGGTGTCATATCTCCGTTTTCACTGTTTTCACCTCGGTGACTTCCAACCAAACTGCCGGCTTTTGGGGATCCTGAACACGGCGAAGATAGCGCCGGTCTCTGGGTTGCGAAGATACCTAAATTTGATACTAAATAGTTTTAGCAACTGACTTGTTACGCTTTGGCAAAGGTTTTGCGTTGTTTGATTTTGATTTCCTTCGAATCAAATTATCGATGGTGGCCCTGTTTGTATTAATTCAAAACGTATTCGTGCGTGCTGGGACAACGAGAACACACACGATACAGTGTTTATTACATTCCGCATGTAGATGTCGAGTAAAACGGCGAAAATTTGAACAAAAATTTTGTCTAACAAAATATACAGGGTAACTCCGTTTGGTCAATAATTAATTATTGAACTAATTTTAAACATTTTACCTAAAATAAGCTAAATAGATCTAAGAACAAGATATGTGGGCACCTGACATTGTCAAGAACCTACAGATTGTTTCTAGTAGTTTAGTATTTGATAGTACATAGCACAATTCGAATTTGCAGACTAGAGGAAGGATAGTTATTTATTCCCGAATTTGTCTACTATTACTTCACTTATGCAGTTGTCTTTACTTCAAACCGGCTGTCAAAAAGGTCAATATAATTATGAAAAGATGCCTGTTCGAGAGATGGTGTATCTCTTCTAAAACTTATATTCGGAATTGAGTTATCGAACCCGATTCTATAAAGCCATAAAAATTATGAAAATATGCCGCTTGAATAATGATTGAAACCCATAAGTCTTTGACTCAACCCATAAGTCTTTGACTCAACCCACCTCCATTTCTATCTTCTGAGTCTTCATTACCATTGTCGTCATGATTTACGTCATCAACCTTTGTGACGTCATCAGAACCTGGTGATTTGAGATGTTGCTGATCGCGCATTCGTTGTTCGTGCTGGCGCTGTAGGTTTTCCATAACGGCCTCTAGTTTCATGGTTGAGGCCCCAGTTCGCCCCAACCCAGCACCTAGACCGGTTATCAGTTCCTGTTGTGCCTGTTGATAAAAAATAATCTTTGTTATCTTCAAGAAGATAAGATATATTCATATGATACTATTGTTATTTTAGTACTCCTTCCAATTTTGTTGATAGCTCAGGGCTTTGAGAAAGGACATAAATGGATGCTTTTTTATAATTTATTTTAAGTGGGGTTGTGAATATCACCACAATATGATATGTCTGTGAATCAAGAGATCATCTTTTTCCCCACTAACGGAAATGTATCTTAATAACGTTTCGTATTACCAAGGTCAGACTTTTTAAAACAAACATAATATAGCTAAAAGATTGTATAATCGAATGTTTATTTGAATCCATAAGATCAAAAATTTGTAAAATTTGCAATGAATACCTATATTTGGACATTGTTTACCGCATTATTCATTTTCTGGATGTAATTTATGATGGAACAATGCGATCAGTGAGGTGTGACCAATCCATTGTTAGCTTAGAGAGGATGATTGTTCTTTCATAATCAGTTCAGCAAATATTTCATTGAAAAGATTTCTTGAGATTATGATTTGGTACTTATGAATACTTTATTAGCGAATAAACACACTCCAAGGGTTATCTGTGACGTCTCAATTGTATCCACGCAACGATTGATTGTTTCATCATAATGATACTTGAATTAATCGAGCTTAATTCTTATATCACAATGCTAAGTGCGCGACAAAATATACAAAAGTCCAATAATTATGATCACATAATGCATAATGAAAACAAATTCCCGCCAAATAAATTTGCAATATCAACGATCGAAATGTTTCAAGTAGAAATATGTGATTTTAATCAGGCAATTATGTTTATATTAATAACACTATAATTGCTACATCCATATTTTATAGGGCTTTTATTGAACATTTGCCCAGAACAAGGTCGCACACAAGAATTCAATGATAGGTAACTTGCAATGTCATAATAGTAAGAATAACTCATGAATAATAACTGAAAGCACTTTATTTGATTTTCCTAATTTTGTTCCAACTGGTAAACTCTTGAGCAAAATATTTATGAGCGTACTTCCTTAACTTTACAAATTTGAAAAAGTGGTATTATAATCTAACAATAAAAAGTCACTTACGTATAAACAATTCATCTATGATGTCAGATATATATCTATGATATCACAATCACTATTTCAAAACTCTTTGTCTCAAAACAATCTATTCGACTTATTATTCCTGATATAGCTCACTAGCTTACTACCAGTAAATACCTCACAAGCGGAATGATTTAATCCGAGATGAAATAGTCAAATTTCACTCTTGGCATTTTTTCTCTCCCATGATATTCGATCTTCTCTTTTATTAACGTTTGGAAATTAAGTCTCTTATTATTATTACGTGGGAGATAAGTAAAAAACGATTTTGTGACGGCACAAAAGGATTTTTATTACAAAACAATATAGTTTATTTAAAAAAAAGAAACTATGATTTTTTTATTCAAAACTACAATTATATTTTATAATTTTAGCTATTTCTTCCCAAAAATAATTCATTCTGCATTTTTATAAAAAAATATTGTTTAATTTTAGTAGAGTAGTCTATAAACAATAAAGTGAGAATTGTTCCTATTTTGACCGCGAAATGAACTTGATTTGAATAGCAGTATTAACTCAAATTTGGGTTTAAATTCGCAAAACACAGACGTAAATATTTAGCACAAATAAAATTTTGATTCTGCTGAATCGGGAAATTTTAAATACATCACGTTTTTTGAATTAGATACTTGCAATTGTCATTTCTGTCAAACTTTTCCAAAATATAAAACAAATGATTATAAATTGAACATATTTCAATAATACTTAGATTTTATTAAAAATTATAACAAAAGAACAGAAAGAATTGAAGAAGGATAAGTAGTTGGTTGAGATAACGTATTAAACAAATGATTATAAATTGAAGATACTTTGTAAAAATAATAATCTATCTGAAAAAGAGTGCCTAAATTATTATTTTTTCTTTATAGCGGATTAAGTAGTTTTATATCAAAATGTACTTTATTTATTTTATATTTGATTTGGTCTTCAAATTATTTGTGCAATTTTAATACAAAAAAATGTAAGTGATTTAAAAATCGTGAAAGCCTTTATTGCTTTAATTAGTTTTTCGCGGTAAAGTATGTTCCCGATTGCATTTTTATGTCAGATCGGTATACAATATACTACAATATAAAGAAAACAGGTTGCTCAATAATTTTAATAAATTATATTACAAAATATTTTATTTTTTACGCATAGGAATAAATTTTGCGACCTTTCTGTCACCCAGATCTAAGAATCATGAAGAAGATGACCGTATATTGTTTATGTAATAATGCTAAAAACATGGTTGTTTGTTTACGGCACAATACCAAGAATTAGTAACAATGCTGAGGACGAACAAGTTTAACCAAGCATATAAATTGCGTTCTCAGTCTGTTTGCAGTTTAGACAAGCTTGAAAGATTAAGAGTTGGTTGAAATTTGTCTATCGAAAGTCTAATCCAGCTAAATCTTTAAAGTTTCGATGAGAGGTAAGGCAATTTAAGATTATGCGATTCTGATGCGTAGGATTAGACCGAGGCGTGAGGTTCTGTAATACATGACGGAAATAAGCATTTTTAGCTGATTATAATGTCCATTAAATCATTCATGAAGAATTGTAAACAACTACCGATTTAATAACCTTGGTGAATGCTAACTCATGTATATTTCTGAAAGCTCAAACTTAGTTCTACAAGTATATTCACACTTATATAGATTTAGCCAGAAGTAACGTTACAGGTACATTTGTGTTCATGGATCCATATTTATTTAAAATGCAAGGATGTTGTAGGAGGAATAAAGATAGCTATTCTAAAAAATTCAAGAGTCTTGTTGCGCACTAACACAAATATATTTCTGTAACGTTAGATTTGACCAAAACTAGACCACGAGTCCACAAAATTTTAAAACTAAATTGCTTTTATATTACTTTCCGTTACTTTGTTTCTTCACACATACAAATTAAAATAAATAAGAATCATAACAACAACAACAAAATGCTGGCAGGCGAAACCTCAAATGAATTTATTTGTGTTATTATGGTATGGTACTGTTACATTCATTCTTTTGTTTAATTAAGTAATTTCATTTTTAAATGTAAAACTATATTTAGGGTCGTTCGAGGCCTTATTTCTATTAAAATCAGAAATCTAGAAAATAATCTCTTCTAAGAAAAATCATTGTAATTTTATCTCGTGTCTGTTTGTTACAAAATACTGAATTTCAACAAATAACTACTCCAGTGATTCATGCATTATTTACTCCACACAAAACGTGAAACTTTATCAAAACAAATTTATAAATTAAGATTTCGGATTTTTCAAAGCTTGAATAAATAGTTAATCAGAACATAACACGAATCCTTCTTCATATACGTAAACTAAACATTTTCTTAATGGTTTATATTAATTTTAACACAAAAATTATCACGAATTCCACTCCATATGTTTACTGTAATCATTTGTCTGAAGGTTTATATCTATCCTAACTCAGAACATATTATAAACTTTCAAATAGATCCCGAATTCTAATTTATAGACCTGCTCCAACAACCTCCTCACTGTTTTATATTAGTCCCAAACCATATCATAACATGAATCTCACTTCATATTTTTACAGTTTTATTTTATATTCATTCTAACCCTGAGCTTTTATTTCCTCCCATAGCAGCCCCCTCCTCAATCTCTCCCCCCCCCCCTATAAACATAGAATTTAAATCTTAACTTATTTCAAGTCGATAGATTCCCAAAAATAGCAGCTTACTTTGTCACGTTTCTTTCAAATAATTCCGTCGGAATTTTTAATCTCGAACGGCCGTCAATCGCGGCATTTTTTCCGGCATTTAAATCAAACTTAGTCAAGGTCACGGCCAATAAAAATGGCGACATTACTTTCACTTGTCTCTCGCCAATCGTGGTCTGCCATTTAATTGCGGATATGTTAAAAAATTGTATCATTTTGAACATAGGATTGGTATAAGATCATTTTGCTAAAAACTGTTGTTATTGAGCAAAAAACCTTTTCCTGGAACTATTGAAACAACGGCTTTTATATTTTCATAAGTTAATTAAAGATGAAGAATACTTTGCTAAGACCATTTGCTGAAAGCAGAAACACGCTAACTAACTTAAAAGTGAAGGAGACTCATCTTAGAGAAGATTCAAGGGCGTCCACTGAAATGGTAAGAGACACTGAAACTAGATTTTATAGACTTTTGATGGTGCATTACGTTCTATGATCGTTTATCTATTCTCGTATTTCTACAAATGATATTACGAAAGACACAAACCTCGGGATCAGAATTGTAGAATATATCCCGAGATTTACCTTCATTTCCCATATCAGACCGACTATTTTCAATCTTAATATTTTTCAATTTTACTAAAATTGGCCCGACATATATATGAATTTCAATTGAAATAATTATATCTGTTATATACAACGCTTTAAATATAGGTAAATCGAATCTAGAAACTTGTTTTTGTGAATGATTGACGTCAGGGCATGGTTCTGTTTACGTCATAGACAAATTCTTTGTGCGTTCACACATAATTTAAAACTTTTTTAGGTTTTAATTATTATGAAATAATGGATTCATTAATTGTTACAATTTAAGGTATTCTTTGATCATAATGGGGCAAAATATACAGGTGTCTAAATGTGAGATTATCTTGTAATTTTAAAAACGTTTCCTTGGCAACGATTTTCAGACAAAAACAATTTGATTTTCTGGGTAGAAATAGGCGAAAATACAAATTCAAATATAATTAATCAAAAACTTGAGCCTCACCGACTTGATTTTAACTCTATCTTATATTAGTTTGCTCAAAACAAAGTCTCTAGCTTCCAACTTGTGGAAGTAAGTTGCGAGTTTTTTGTCAAAATTGGAGTCCCTGACTATGTTATAATAAACTTTTTCATAATAAATCTCCGATTCTAGTTCAGGATTTCAAATCCGGCTCAATTTAAG